AAGCTGTCAAAGACAGTCATCTCTAGATCAGCAGGCCAAACTTGAAACAGAAGTCAATTTGCTATTGTATTAGCTGCTCCACAGGTCACAAAGGTAAACACAGGGCTACAAGTTACACAAATGCAGTCCACAAAGACTTCTGCATTGCTAATGATGAGAACATCTCTATGGGGGTGTTTATCTGATTAGAACAAACACTGTGTTAGCACCTGAAAGTTGACAACCTTCATTCACATGCCCTTTACTGCTTCCAGAGTGATTTGGTGGCTGTGGTCTTGAGTACTAAGCTTTCCTATTGATCTAAATCACCCAGTGGAATCCCAGATGTTTCCAGCTGTTCCTCACATCAGTATTTTGTGGAACAGGAGCCCTCTTGCCAGGGGCACTTTCTTACTTTACCAGCTAGATGTCACCACTCCTAAGCCTCTCATGTGTTTCTAGTGCACTGTGTCTTGTCAACGATATTTCCTAATTTCAAGTCTTTTCTGCAATCAAATGACCTGATGTTTTTGGGAAATTTAATGCATTAGGGGTATGTTTGGAAACTCACAGACTTAAGAGGGGTGTGTGTGGTGGTGCATAAACTCAATTGCACTTCAGCTTCCCTGGTGAAGCCCGTTGGAGCATTTCATTTTAAAAGCTGTTCCTTGACTGTGCTCAGAAACTGGTGATTTAAGATATGGTATTTTGTTTTGGTTTTTAATTGTCTTTGTTTTATCTTTATGCGCACAGGTACATTCTGTGTGTGGGTATGTGCACATGAGTACACTTTCTCAAGGAGCCAGAAGAGGGCATGGGGTTCTTTGGAGCTGTAGTTACGACTGGTTGTGAGATGCTTGACACTATTGCTGGAGCCAAGCTTAGGGACCTCTTCCAAATATACTAAACTCTCTTAACTAACCACTGAGTCATCTCTCCAGCACCACAGAGACGTGTTTTAAATCATCCTTCAATGCTAAGGACAAGACAGACATCAAAAGCTCATGCTGCGTATCGCTGGAGAGAAAAGGATCTTCTTATTTCAACAAAGATATCTTGAAAGAGTGAATGCAAATAAACAAAACACATGTAAATCTAGGAAGCGCATACCCTAAACAAGCTAAATAAACACATTGGCATGAAATGATTTAACAGCTCTTGGGGGAGGATGTCCTCAGAATGGCAAGTGTTAATTAAAGCAAACCAGACAATGTTTTATTAAACAGTGAGCAGGGCTTCCAAACCATACACGGAATGTTCCTTGTTAAGACAGAAGCAGAGGCGAAGGGCTGGGTACTGCCAAGTATAGAGGAATACACGTTTAAATTATTTACATGCAATATGATGAACTTCCATAGCATAAGACTTAATCAATCTCATGTCTCTTTCTGGCTGACTTCTAGTCCTCCCCACATGAACTGTATCTACCCAAGACAACAGGAAAAATGCCATGGTCCTACTTAAGATTCTCAAGTAGTCAAAACTCGAAATTTGTTATTTTACCTCCTCTGAATAAATGAATTTTTAAATCAAAGTTTAAATAACAAAAATCTCCCTTGAACAGATAATTAATTCTTTCTCATCTGCTCCGAAGTAACACAGCTCCATTAACAAAAGTGAAAGAACAGTAGCCAGTAACAGCATGTTCTTTGCCAGGAACCACACCAATCTTATGTAATTTGTGCAACTTCTCACTAAAGTGAGTTTCCCGATTGTGCCCATTCTGCAACCAGCTAACTGAACTCTGTGTGCCGCTAACCTGGAACACATCTATCATAGCTTTTTGAAATGTCTATGAGTATGAGGTTTTCCATCTACACGGAGATTTGTGGGAAAACACAGAGCTTTGCTGTTTTGGGTTCATTTCTAAATATTTGAAATGGCATCACGGCATACAGAGCAAGGCTGAAACTGGCATGATTTTCCTCGTAACAGCTCCAACTCATTCTTCCTAATTGCTGCTAGTGTGACGTAAATACTGTTCTCCTACTTACAGGAAGAAAATTCCTTGTTCAATTTTTTTTAAACCAATAAAAACAGTCCTATAGGTGAACGTCTTGTGCAAGCTTCCCTCTGTGCACCTGGAGAGCTGCCCACTGCACATAGGCTGTAGCAGCGCTGGTCCTTGGACAGACATGTGGAAGGGCTGGTCCATGGATAGACATGTTTAAACCTTCACAGACACCAACCACCACACTGTCCTCTGAGAGAGATGCTTCTTATTGGTCCATGAACACGTATTTCCCTACAACTATGCCAGAGTCGGATATTATCAAGCTTCAAGGTTTTGCCAATCTTACGGGTGAAAAAATGGTATCATATTTTAATTTATATTTTCCTAATTAAAGTACGTCATATCATAGGTGATACCACCGTACTGGCAGTTAAGAGTCACTGAGTCAAAGAATAAATGTATATGTACGCTAAACATATTATTTTATTTTAAAATACCAAGATGCACATTTCTTTGCCCATCCTTTGTCACCAGAACATGGCTTCTCCTTTCTGTGAGGGACAGCGAGAGAGGACCTCTTTCACTGACCATGTCCTCAAAGCACAGCTGTGATTCCTGTTTGGTTTCTTAAGTGAAGTGAGAAAGGAAAGACCTTGTAAGAGTCTGAATGCAGAAGTCAATTAAACAGTGAGCTTTTAATAACCTGCCTTTATCAGAACTTTTCAAAGCGTTCCATTTAAATTTCACTGTTAACAGCTCGCTCCATGCTGGTATTTCGCTGGTTTGCGTATTATTTAACTAAATTACATAATTACAATGACATTCAACCAGCACAAACCGGTTTGGGAACCAGCACACCTCTGGCTCTTGGAAACACAAAATCAAATGAAATAAAAAGCACAAGTATTTTTAGTGAGCAGCCCACCAGAGAGCCAGGCAAGCATGGCTGGGGAGACAGTACCCTTCCGAAACACACGGAAAACTGGTGTCTCTGAGAGAGTGCGCAGTCCAAGCGGTGGAGAACAACTTCTGTATGATGATGACCTCGTACGGTTTACTGTAAGCCTGTTTATTTATCTATACTTCTAACAGATCAATCCCTTTTCTTGTTTATTTAGAGGTATATTTTATGTATCTGAGATAGGAGTCCTTTTACTGTTTATGATCACAAATGTTTTCCTCCGGGCTCTTACTTATCCTTTACCTATGTCTTGCCCTTATCTACTACTTAAGTCTTCTCCTTATCGACTACCTATGTCTTGTCCTTATCTGCTACTATGTCTTCTCCTTATCTACTACCTATGTCTTGCAACTATTCTGTTTTACAAAAGTATTTCACTTTGATGTCAGGAAAGAAAATGCCTTCTTTACAGATTTTGTTATCTTTGCCTTTATTAAGCAAGGGTCCCTTCGCAGAGACCTCAAATAGTTAAAAGAAAAGTGGAATATGTAGATGTAAACAATGGTAGAAATCAGAATATACTTCTATCTGGATTCATCAGTCATGGAGAACTTAAGCATCTCCTGAGCAATGACTAGGTACATATACTGCTGAGACCAAACACTGACTTAGAAACTAACATAACGGAAACCACTTTTCCCTCTGGAAAGCAGCCTGCTCAATCACAATCAAAGATATCCTTCTCCTCCCCATTCCCATGCAAAAGTCTGCACATTGGAAAACTGCCATTGGAGTATGGACCCTCAGCATCTGGACAAGTAAAGGAGTGGGGGTTGGTATAACCTGTCACACCAATCGGTCAGAATGACCAGAAGTCTCTCCAAGTCTCTCTCCAAGTGTCTAGTGCCAATTCTGATCACAGAGTTAACTAGGAATCTATCAGAAGAGTCAAGGAATTGCAAGGACAACAGGAGAGAGCAGGGCGGTGCAGGGGGAGGGGGATTGTGTTGGCCTCAGCAGGATGAGCAGTGAGGGCAACTCAGTCTCCAGCTTCCTCAGGATCCCAAGAGACAAGCACCATCAAGCAGAGGCACAGAAGGGGAAGCCAAGGACAGGCCGTTCAAGGCAAGCGTCCTTCCACTGAACAGCCCTTCATTTTCACTATTTAAGATATAAATTATTCACTGACATCTACTATTTAGGGCTGTTGTTCACATGTGTAGAGAGAATGATGTAAACAAACAAAAACATCAACAATGAAACAAAAAAACAAAGACTCTAATATCCACTAGAATCCGATGGAAAATGGCAGCCACAGTCGTTAATACTGTGCCGGTCTCTGTGCCGCCGGAGAAGTCACAAAAGTGAGAACAAAACATGCATTAGAAAAAATGTCAGTGAGGCGGAAATACTTAATGCTACACAACATTCTAAAAAATACACCCACTCAACAACATAAGCAAATAATCTACATATAAAATATATGCAAAATATAAACAAACCCCATTTGGTACTAATACAACTGAATAAATGTACTTTCTTAATTATTTTAACCTCTTAAAAGTCAATTAAGATGATAAGTGCCTAAATATTTTATAGAGGTGGGTTGCTGGGGAAGAACGTGCACAGTGATTTGTAACAGAGCAAGAAGCTCTCTAACTTCCTATATTACAATTCCCACAGGAACTCAGATGTGCGACGCCTCTAAAATCATGAATGTGAAGAACAGGATCTTTGGATGGAAACAGACTTTAAAAGCATGTGGTTTTCCTTTGAAAGGCAACCTCCTCATTACACATTTTGAATAACAAAACGAAATGCCTGACCTGAGTCTGTGTTGGGGGCGGGCCCCACCTCTAGTACATCTCAATCCTACATTGGGCTTCTGTGTGTGTGTGTGTGTTTTAATTCCCTTCAACTTGACTTTTAGAAACATTAATAATTTTTCTGTGTTTCCCTGGAGCATTTCTTATCAGGATTAAAAAGGGACCTATTCTGAGACAAACAGGATACAGGGTAAAGGTGCCGCTTCCAGGCAAGCTAAGAATAGCTACAGCGTTTTCAAGAAATCTTGTCCCAGGGTGTGAGCCTCAGCTCAATGTGCAACGCAGGTTTTCTTCCAATTGTCACCACAAGCCATTGATAACAGAGAACTTCAGTTCTTACCAGGTTTTCTTGGTTCCTGGCTGCTATTTTCTGCTCCTCTTCTGCTCCGTTTTTCATGTATTTGACCTCTTCCACGGGTTTGATTCTATACTCATCTGAATGACAAAAAAAGGGGGGGAGGAATTTACTACAATGCAGAAAAGTGTCAGCAAAGCCACAGCTATGCATTAGACCCTTGACCTTGTAGCCTTTACATGTGGCTCATCTGGGACAATCTGGAAGAAGCATGCATAGGCATCTTGGGTCCCTCTGAGTAGGTGTCCTGCCTTGTCTGCACCGCAGACCTTATTCAGTGAGCAAACACTAGATAAGAAGGAGGCTCTTCCACTGGTGGAAGTCTCTAGAATCCAGACACTGGAAAGCACCACACATCAGGAGACTGGGGAGAATGTCTTCCTTCATCCCCGGAGACTATCTGTCCCGAGTGCCTGTAGCGGCAATTCCAGTTCTATGTTTGCACCTTAGTTTTCCACCTTTTGAGCAATACGGTACTGTTTATGACTATAGAGGTGTACTGATGAACAAATAAAGCCAATTGCAAATTGAATTTTTTCTTTCTTATGGCTCTTACATTAAATTTGAATAGTTTGCATGCGTGGGCATCTTGGGTCCCTTTCAGTAGGTGCTCGGCTACTACTATGTAGCCTTTAACCTCTCTAAATTTCCATGCACTGAGGCAAAAGACCAACTAGCTCGAAATGGGCCGGTGAGGCCCCAAGGCTGTATAGTACAGAAGGTTGGAGATGGAACCTAGACTTGTCAATAAGACAACACGAATCTCAATGTCAACATCCACGGTGGGACAAAACTGGGAAAGACAGCAGCCAACGTTCTCCTGTAGGACAGAGATTTGGCGGTGACATTTCCACCAGATTCCTGTCAACAGGAAATGTCTTGGTACATGAAGTTCAAAACCAGGTGTGATTTTGACTCATCTTTGGCCCAACTTGTAAAGGGAGGAAAAAAAAAATCACAGAAATTATGGAATTAGAAAATTTCATCAGCAAACTGCTTTGAAAATGGATGAACTCAGCTCTAAGAAAGCCAGCGGTCTGTTACTAAGAAGGCTTGTATTTCCGGCTAAGAGGTCATAACATACTTTCCTACTGACTGAGCACAATGAGTATATTCCTTCAAATGTCTTGTTCTGGTATTTATAAGACAACTGTCTAACGTGGTTGTACTTTCTCCATCCTGCCTCTAACACAGTATTTCTGAAAACTAGCTATAGTAACACCCAAGACAGTGTGCTAGTCAAATGCTTCTCTCCTCCTCAAGAAGCTAACGTATTTGCATATCGGCGTATAAGAAGACCCAATGTTTGTGACCAGGCCATCTGTGTTTTTTTCCCCCACTTGCCAATTCAAGGTAGATATAGGTTCTATTCGTTTTTCTTTATTCTTATGCTGTGGAATGTTCCCTCACACTGTGTGAAGAGGTGCACTGTGACCGGTTTAATAAAAAGCTAATTGACAATGTTAGGCAGGAGGTGTCGGTGGGACTTCCGGACAGAGAGAGCTCTGGGAAGAAGAAAGGAGGAGTCACCGGTCAGATGTGTTATAAGCAGGATGAGAACAGTGGAGAGGGGTGGCAAGCGAGCGTGTGGAAGAACGTAAACGTAAAAATAGAGGGGAACTTCAGTTATAAGAGCAAGTTAGAAACCAGACTAAAGCTAAGGCCGGGCTGTTGCTATTAATAAGTCTCCATGTCGTTTTTTGGGGGGGGGGGTGTGAGCTGGCAGTGCAAAGAAAAACCTGCCTACCTGCCTACATTTCTAATGTATATTTGTGCATGAGTATGGTGTGTATGTATGTTCATGTGCATACATGTGAAAGCCAGAGGTCAATTTCTGTTGTCTTCCTGTATCTCTCATTGTTTTAGACAGGGTCTCCTGCAGAAACTGAGCTTGATGATTCAGTCAGACCAGCAAGTTCCAGAGTCACCCCATCTCTGCTTCCCTAGCTGTGCAATTACAGGGTGAACCCTCTCACCTGGCTTTTTATACCAGTGCGAGGATTTGAACCCAGGCCAGGGTTTTACCATCTGAGCCATTTCCCCAACCCCATTTGAGACTTGAATACAATTACAGTAATGAGCCTTTCAGGAACACCAAATCTAGAATTATCAAGTTAATATATGGTTTTGAATCTTCAACTATAAAGTAGAAGTATTTCACAGCCCTTTATGATGACCCACGTGCTCACACAACCAAAAAACACAGGAGACTGAGACAGGAAGCTCTTGACTTTGAGGCCAGGCTAGGCTACATTGTAAGTTTGAGGCCAGTCTGGGATGCATAGTAAACACTATTTCAAAATAAAAGAATAAACAAGAGAATACCATACTCTGATTTGATGCTCAGATAAAAAAAAAAGGAAATTAATAATACTAACATATTAAGTACCGGTTACTCATAAGTTGTGAAACAATTGCTAATTTTAAAAGAATAGAAGAATAGATATAATTATGTCCCTGGTATAATAATACAGAGATCAAAATACAGGTAAAAACCACAGAAACTTAAAAATGGGCTGCCCAACTTTAGTTTGAGGCATTAGTGTTTATAAATCAAGGCACAATGACATAATTGCTACGGTTTAACTAAACATACGCATACTTAGTTGAGCCGTCAGCTATAAATATAACATATCACAACCTGGTGGATTCTATAATGTTCTACCCAGGACATTATAGAATGTACCTCATGTAAATCACACCTCATTACAGAACACGAGCAGAGACTTCTGAAAGAGCAGACAGCCCTCTGCACACTGCACAGCACAGGTACTCCCGAGATAGGGCCGCCCTTCTCCTGCCCACTTCCCTCCCCCATCTCGGCCACGATACAACAGTGAAATCACACTCTGAAGCAGCATGGTAAAGTAAACATTCACTCTTTATTTTCTCGGCCCTCCAGGGATCACAAATGAATTGAAAGTAACAGATAAATTATTGATATTTTTCTCCAACGAGAGGGAAAAGCTCCTGGCGACACGACTTTCAACGTAACATTACTTCAAACTCAGGCTTTTTCTTTTCCTTTCCTTTCTTTTTCTATTCCTTTCTTTTCTTTTCATGGAGACTGAATCCAGACCAGTTTAGACAGCAGATAGCTTTGCCGGTGTCGTTAGCATCCTTGCTGTCTGGTCAGGGCATTGTCAGGACAGTACAACGTGACTGAGTACACAGAATGAGCAAGCAACCACCTAAGACTACAAGCCTTTGCACATCAACACTGCCTCTACAACGCACAATGTAAAATCTAGTCTAGCATAAAGCAGGAAGACCTCCAAGAAGCCAAATTTCCTGAAAACAATACTTTAAAATAAAAATGCCTGCCAGCTTTGTGAAGCCTGGTGCCCGAAATGAAGATGGAGTCCATCTGGAGACAGATGATCCAGCAATGAAGATGCCGTGCATTTCCACAGCGATGTGGCCGGCAGGAAAGCCTTCGGGCCTCAGGGTAGGTGAGCCCGGCACTGCGGGTTACAGCAGTGAGACGGTCACATCCGAGATCTATTTCCTTTGGCCAGTGGCCTCAGTCTCCTTCCATCAGAACCCCACACTGTGGACAGCCACTGCTACAAGCCAGAGAGTCCTGAGAGCGGAACAGTGAGGCCACTAGGCGGAGAGCAGAAGCCGGGCCGTCTTCCTGTGCACACCTGATCCATCCTTCCTGTCGTTCTGTTGTCTTGTCAGGTGCCTCATTAAATGCAAGTCAGGAAGCTGACTATTCCCTAGTAAATAGTTGCAGGCTGCCGATCAAAACAGATCTGTGATGGGATTTTTAGCATCTTATTCAAAGGTAACAGCAGAGGGGTGGGGCTTGTTGGGTAGCGGCCAATGATGAAAAGGAGAAATGGGTGTCAGAGTAGGTTCAGGTTTTCACTGTCTTGGAAAGTAGCTGCCATAAGAGCCCTTAATAGCTGGAGTGCCCTTCCCAGACAGGTTCAGAGTTTCCTCCTCAGTCTAGCAAGCTTGTGAAACTTCTGACTTTTAATAATCCTGGAATTAGAAAAGCACCCATATCTTTCTAGTTGATTAAAGTTGGGGTGTTAACGTTTTTTTGGAGATGTTAATTTATTTTTATTTTATACGTATGGGTATTTTGTCTGCAAGTATGTCTTTGTACCACATTGTTTCTATGAGTGGCCTCTGAAGCAGAAGAGGGTGTCAGGTCCCCTAGGACTGGAGTCACAGAGAGCTGTGAGCCGCCTTGTGAGTGCTGGGAATGGAACTTGGGTCCTCTGACCTCTCTAGTCCCAAACCCAGGGCCTTAAAAATACTGTTCTTACTATTAAGGAACCTTTAGCAAGAATATCTATAAACCTTCGGAGACAGCAGTGAGTGTGTGACGGACAGCAACTCAGAAGGGATAATCCACAGCGGAAGAGAGGGCCAGAGACACAAGCACAGACTGTCCTGGCTAAAGACCCTCAGTCGGCAGGAAGCTCACAGCTGCCTTTAACTCTACTTCCAGTGGAGCTGATGACTCTTTCTAGTTTCTGCGGGCACTCACACATGCGATACACACACACACACACACACACACACACACACACACACACACAAATAAAAATAAATAAATCTTTAAAAAACACAAAAAGAAAAGAAGGGTTGATCCTTCCTTATGGCTCTAATGACTGTCAATCATCAGGGATGTAATTTGAAAGCACAAAGGTGTGCAGCATGGGCGTCAAGCTAACCTTTTCTAACAAGGAGACCTGAAACTAAACAACACCCCCCCACACACACACACACATGTGCGCAGGCACCAATGGTCTGCACTTAAAAGCACATGTCTGCACACAAAATACAGAAGAGATGGTTTTCTTTTCAGCTTCCTCCCTCGAAGCCCCTTTAACTTAACAGAACTGAGCCAGGTCACGAATTGTTCAGAAACCCTCACAGTAGGTCTTCGGAGGAGACATGAAGCATTTCCTCTCCTGGTCCTGGGCAGAAGGTTGGAGCTGATGTCAAACAGCCTCTTCTTCAAATGCCTTCCTTCACTCTGTCACTCTGCAAGCCTCCAGTGTGCTGTTTCCCACCCCTGCCTTGCCCCGCCACTGCGGCATTCCACTAAAGGCACATCTAC